ATGTGGTTTATTGATTCAATGGTGGAGTTATAAACACATATTACTGCTGGGAACCCCAGCTGCCTGGGCAGAAGTATTCTGTAAACTTTTCATTCTTACTAACTTTAAAAATCAGGTGCAATGAGCTTCAACCAAGGTTGGAGTCTTCACTCTCCACAGAAAGCCATCAAGCAGTCCTTGCACAGCAAGCTTCGAGATGTATCTCAGAATCTATCTGCACTGATGACCAAGAGCAAGGCTGAGCCAAACCAAAAACCAGTTCACACCCTGTACTGCCTATCCCAACCCCCAGGAGCTGAGTTCTCTGGAGGGGGAACCAAGAGAGCCAAGCAAATGAGCATGTGCCATTGCTCTCTAGATTATGGTTCAGTTCACCAGCACATTCCCCTCAACACAAGTGCCTCATGCTTATGGTGACAGCTACACCTGAACAGAAAACAAAGGACTTAAATCCAATCCCAGACCTGCTCTCCATTATGTGGGCAGAAACCAGCTTAGAACCAACCCATGGAACTCCTGTTCAGACCCAACTAATTTTCTGATCCTGCTCAGCCTCACAGGGGAATGGCTGAACTCTCCCCATTCCCTTTTTGTATTACACCTGTTAATTTGTGAGACCTACAGATTTGAGAAAATTATTTTATTGTTAAAACCAGTGACAAAAAAAATTGTGGTCTCACTAGATCCTTGGGAGGTCTAAGAGCTCTAAATTTTGCTCAGCACTGAGACAAAGAGGGAAATCCTGGCCTCACTGAGTGCCAGAAGAGTCAGACATCACCTCAAGCATGGTCTGTTGAAGATTTTTATCTTTCTTTGAAGCTCCTGGGCCAGCAGAGCAGCACAATGTGTGCCAGCCCTCCCAGAGAGGTTGGGTTTATAGGGGCAGGATTGGCTGACCCTGATGTTCCACAGTCTCAGCAATGTCCAAGTGTCTCATCTTAAGGGTCAGACCTGTCTAATGAAAAAGACAAAAGGTTCCCAGGATAGTAGGTTTGTTTTCCTTCAAAAAATCCACCAACTAAACAAACAAAACTCCCCTTGTTTTTCAAATAAACTCATTTGAGACCTGTGTCCTCCTGTCCTGCCTGTTCCTTTCCTCCTCACTGGCTACCAAAGCCTTCTCTCCAGACATACAATACATTTGGTCTATAAAGAGACCATTCTCCCTGTACAGCTGCATTTGGGTAACTCTCAGAGGCTCTGAAGCGCAGCCAACATGCAGAAATATAAAACCCAAGAGGACTGAGTCTTGTTTCACCTGAGAAGGGTTTCTCTTACACACAGCACTGTTCTCCAAGGGATCTGACCATTTCCACTGAGCTTTAAGAAACAGGCATTTTTGAGAAGTTGTTTCTGGACTCAAACCTAAGCAGAGGCTCTTGATTTTCTGTAGAATTTTAAAATGCCATTTTATTGAAAAAACACAAACTGATGCCCTGTATTTCTGTAATACCCTCCAAGCAGAAATGAAAGTTGTCTTTTTTCTCAGTTAGTTCTAAAAGAGAAGGATTAAAACATTAAACAAATGATAAATCATTTATGCGCTGCTGGTTGGAACTCAGATATGATGATTATAAATAAAATGTCTGAACAAAAGAGAATAAAAGATAAGACAGAAGGAATGGGCTCCACAGGGCCACAGTCATCTGAGCTGAGATTGCACAGCCCTGGCAGCAGGGTGAACACAGGAGCTGCACCAGGCTTCGTGTAACCCACAACAATTTCATGCCAAATACAGAGCCCACAGTGTGAAATTCCCACAGTAAGAAATACACATATAGTATTTCCAAAGCAACTCACTGAAGCACCCTGGAAATTCCAGGGTAATACAAGGGGACTGTATCTTACAACATTAATTCCAAAACCTGAACTAATATGGAAGTCTCTGTGCTTGGCTGGTATTTGGGAAGCACACCACATCTATGCTCTGTTGCCTTTCTTCAAGGCCACCTGGCTTTGAGATGGGAGCAAAAGTATTAATCCCACATAAAGAAAAGCCTAAACCTGGTCAAACTGTCACAGTAATATTCAACCATGGTGTTCTCCTGAGGGTTGGTGCAGCAGAAAGTGAATAAAATTTGCAACATCCTTTCTTTTCCTAAACTCTGAGAAGAATTCAAGACTGTTCTACCTGTAAGGCTTGGACTAAAGAGACAGAAAAGAGCCACAGTAGCTCACCCTAGTTGGGAATTACAAGGTCCTGAAGTCTGATACACCATAGCCATTTCCTTCTCCCTTTTGGTTTGAAGTAATAATCTGTGCCTCAAACAAAATGGAAAAATGGAGGATTGGGAAGAGAAAGGATATTAAGCACACCTTATAACAATGTATGCTTCATAAATAAAAAAACACTAAAAATTTTTTTAAAATACTTTTTTTTAAATTAAAAGCACCATAATTTCCTTACTGTTGCTTCTTGAGTCATTGTGAACTAAGAAAGGAGTCTATTACCTGTTTCTAACTTCTGTGTTCACCTGAGTCACTATCCCTAAGACTTGTATTTGAAGCAGTATCTGTTTCTTGCTAATTACTTCAGTCCTCCCTTTGCCAGCACCCACAGCCAATGTAACCTTATAGTTCAGTAATCTATACAATGCTCTCTCTTCTTTTAGCATAGTTCAGTGCATGGCATGCAAGTTTGCTCTCACAGGGTACAGCTGGTGCACATTCACAGGCAGGACAAAACTGTGCATGTAAACTCTGTAACTAAAGCAGAAGGAATAACCAGAGCAGCTTGGAGTAGAGCAGATAGAGAAAATGAGATCTAGAAACACACCATTTGCCACCTATGACAAGCCTTTATTAGGCTTCTTTAAGCTTAACACTCTGCTGCTGGCTGCAGTCAGCACATATCTCAAGGAAAAGGAATCTCTCTTCTTCCATGTGTCTCCCTAATGTCCTTTCACAGTGGAAAGATCTTCCTCATTTTTATGGTGATTAGCTTGTTCATGGAATCATAAGACTGAGTCTATCTTCCATCAGCTTATGTGAGTTGGTAATAACGGTTTTAAAAATGACACAGCCACAGCACTTGTTCTGTTCTCTCAGTGAGATGGCCCACACACATCATACACAACTGCTCCTACAATTACTTTCTCGAGTAATCCTATTAATACAGTGCAGAATAGTCCCTCAGGCATCATCTCAATAACTCTTTTCTGTTCAGGCTTTGTGTCATTTTTCTCTTGTACTTTACATTTCTATTTCTTTGTAATTACTGTCTGTTCATGCTCCCTTTGTGCACCCATGAGGAGTCCTACACCCTCAGCCACACTCCCAGTGATGCTACTGGCCACATCCATCCTCTTGATGGGACCATAATGATTTTTGTCCTTTGTTAGGCTGTCAGGACAATTTTTTAAGAGCTTCCCTCAGATAAACAAAATGTATTCTGCTTTCACTGCCTGGCTTTGATATGACAAACCCTGAGCTCTCTCCCTGTGCTGAGCCAAAGTGCCTGAGTATGCCAGACTGATTTTTGCAGTTTTCTACTCTTGAGTCCACATCAGAAGAATATAATGCAACAGGTTTGTGGAACAAACTGACACAAGCTTTGTTTCTCTTCAGATCTGCACTGACCTCTTTAGATTAAACATGATGCCTCATCCTGAGTGACTCACTCCTGTAGTTAGCTAAATTCAAACTGTCTTCTTTAAAGCCTGTAATGTAAACAACACATTTTACTGTCACAGCTATGTGGACGTTAGTTAAAACAACTTTACATTCTGAAAACAGCTACACAATGTTGCTGGTTTATGTGGTTTTGGCACGAACACCACACTTTTGCCCTTCAAGCATTGTCACCTCGTGCTCCCAAACACGGCTGCTGCACTAACCATTAGCAGGTTGGGCCAGTACCACGGCTGAAGAGTTTACAGAAAGCCATTCCTGGATGTTGGCAGGAAAACAGATTCCTAATAAGGCAGCCCAAGCTCCCCTGTGCAGTGGGATGATACCCAGACCCCACAGGAGGCTGAGCTCATGAAGCACCTACAGAATCCACCACAAACACAGCTCAGTTCTGCAAAAGCTCTTGGTGATTTTCATGCTCCTCTTGCCAGTGGATTCACCTTTAAATCAAACTCCTTGAAGCCTCTACGTGCAAATATTCACACTGTGGGCTTGTCCCTCCCGACAGCCCCAGCTACAGACACACAGCAAGAGGACAAAATCCAACATACAAGGAGCCAGTTTGGGTCTCCGTGCTGAGCTTGCTCGGAAGTCCAGCACTCCTACAAAGAAGAAAGTTTCTCTCTCCAGCTTCTCTTTTATAAATACATTTTGCTACTATGCCTTTAATGATCTACAATAATTCTCTGTGCTTCCACCCCATGACCTCCAAGTACTTGAAAAACCTTTCCTTTCATCTTTTGCAGTCAGTTCAAGGAAATACAGAGGGATGGAGAAATTACATCTTCAAATCCAACCTTCCACTCACAAATCTATATCCTGACTCTGACCATGATAAACAGAGCAACCAGCTGCTGGTGGGAGAACAGCATATCATTCCAAACAACTGCACTGTTAAAACATCATCCATTGACACCTTCTTTAAATGACCTTAAAAAAAAGTACATGCAGACGATCAATTCAGTGATGTTTACAAAACCCAGGCTGAAACAGTTTTCTCATTCGCAATTTCCTTTTGCCATGAAGAGCAAAACACTAAAAAAATTTAAATAAAATGAAATTTTAAAAAAAAGTCACACAACACAAGGTGATTCCCACTCTGTTTAAGCAGTAAAAAAAGTTAGAACTGAAGATAAAATTTCTGGCACACTGGGAGTAAAATCTAGCCTGCATGCCACAGATCAGTGGTTAGATATTCCCTGTTATTTTTCAGATATTCAAGCATATGATCTTCACATGCACAGGTAAGTTGGCACATAATTACTGATTCTTGAACATATCTATAATCACAATAATGGAGTTAGATAAGTTACCATGGAAGGCCTTTGCAAAATGTCTAACTTCTATTTCCATCAGTAAAAAGAACTTACCTTTAAGGACTCCCAGAGGGGAAACTGTACCAGAGAGAAAGGAATCTGGAGAGGTGGGAAAAGAAAAAAAAAAGAACAACAACATAATGTTACAAAAGTAAATTGGGTTAGCATGTTCCTCAACTGGCTAAATTAGGAACAGTTATTGTTCTCTCAGTGAACTGCAGCTTATTACACTTACAAATCTTTACGGACACTTTATGTATGCTGCCATTAAATGACTGGTTTCACTAAAGCAGTTTTACTTTGTTTATCACATTCCCTGCTGAGAGGTTAATGTATTGTTACCAGGGTGGCCTAGAAGAGCAATAAGCAGTGTGATCTAGTGCAGGGACATTCTTGGTTTGTCAGTCAGCCAAGAAAGCCATAAGGATGGTTCAAGAAACAAGTTCCCAAGGCCAGGAACACAGCTTGGCAAAAAACATCTTCAGAAGTGCAGACTCTCACAGATGCTGAGCTTTTGTGATGCAAGCAGGGCTCTGCAGTTGGGCATCAGCTGCAAAAACGTTCCTGAACACGTCCCATGATCTCCCATGAACCAGCTCCCCTGAGAATTAAAAGCAGGTCGTGAGGAGCTACCACAACCCAAATAAAAGGGAGAAGCTTGGTGGTTCTCACTGCCTGTACATGGGGTTCTTCTGTCCTCAACAGCCTGGATCTCTGTCTAGGCTCATTCCTGCTGCCACCCGCCCAGGAGTGACTGTGCAGTTCCATGTCCTTCACAGAATTTGCCCTGGTAGAAATCCCAACTCACCAGTCAGTTTTCATTGTGAACACACTGAAACACTTTGCAACAAGAGACATCACTTTCCAAGGCTATGCCTTCTATCATATTTCTTCCTCTGCAAAACCTTCCCTCCACTAAATTCTTCCTTGTCCTTCACCTCTTAGAGAAGCCCTGTCTAATGCCAACCTCTGGTGCCAGCTCTGCCCTTGCTATCTCCAGGCTGAATATCTGTCTCAAGATATCTCAGAGAAAAGGGTCTCCAGGAAAGCACTGGTCTGTCCTAGGATCGCCCTACAGCTGTATCTGCAGGTCTGCTCTGCCCCTTCCTAAAGCTCCATTTTCTCCTTCATTTTGTTAGCCAGTCAACCCCAGGCTCAAATCTTCCTCCAACTACCTATTTTCTTCTACTTTTATCTTCCTTAATTTTCCCCCTTGTTTAGGCTGATTTGGCAGTTCATATATCAAATTATTTAGTCTCAGAAAGCACTTACACATCTTTTACCATGAAAAGGAGTAGATACTCAAAATGGATCATGCTTATTTAATGCAGATATCTTTGCTCTGAGTAATGTCAGGTTAAAAACGTTCACTAAAGATATGAATAGCTTATTAAACTTGAATTCAAGCTACACAAAGGAATCTGAACTGGAACATCCATTCAACATCACAGGAGTCAAAGAGTATTGTCTGCTTCCCTGTGCTGCAAGTAATGATTAATAAATGAGTCTATTAAGTTAATCTGCCAGGCAAAACTAAACTTGACAGACACCTGCCACAGAAAATTTGTTATCTATTCAGGCAGGAAATGGTAGTGAGAAGAAATCAATGTCACTGCTGTACATTGAGCTGACAAACTGAAATCTCAGAGGAAGTTTGTCATCTTGGACAACGAGCAATATCCCTGGTGGCATCTCAGAGCCTCACAATAAAGGTCAGACATGGCTCTTATTTATCAGGGTCTTGAAACTCTAGTGTAGCAATTAAATTTCATTTTTAATACTAGGTGAAAAAGCCCAGCTCTTTGACAGTAATGTGTGGTAATATATTTACAAGAAGATATATACACACTCACGTGCTACTGCAGCATTGTTGAATTGAAATTATATGGAATGATTTCTTTGCAATGTAAAACAAAAAGCAACATAATCTTCTATTATGTAGGCCAAAAATATAGGGGAAAATAAGTAACAATAACCAATACATTTGCTTCAAATTCATTAAAAAAGAGAAAAGGAAATGCTCTGTATCCAGCTGTACACCAAACAAAACAAGCTTTCAGATACAGCCTCCAAGTTTTGCTTTTTTATGCTCGTGAATGAGTGGTAAAATTAAGCAGCTGTTAATAAGACAACAAAGGAACCTTGTGACATAATCCCCTTTATATCGCCTTGCTAGAAGCATTTCAATCAAAGGGGAAACTTGTTCACAGGAGTTGTTTGATTTTCAGTGTTAGTGGTGTTTGCTTTCTGTGTCCTGCTCAGGGGAGACCAGGCTGGATGGGGATTATGGGTTTCCCTTTTCCCCACGTGCCCCATGGGATGCAGTCTGGGAAGATTCAGGGTGTTTGTCAGAGGGACCTGCCCAGCCACTGGGCTCCCTCCTCTCTAGGAGAGCTGCAGGATAAGGCTCTAAACATTCATAAGTCATGCTTTACTAGAGTTTAAAAACTTGCAAAACCCAAACAAAATAGCAAGCACCACCAAGCAGAGCGGCAGCATCTTTGCTGCACTAAGAAGATCCTAAGGAGATGTCCTACATTTACTGCAGTCACCCATTGGATCCTGTCTGACAAAACAAAACCCACACAAGCAATTTCATGGGTATTAGAATGAAAGAGACTCTGTCTTCCTGCAGATTTGGGTTTTCATCAGATTCTCTGAAGCCAAACCATTTCCAAGCCGCCTCCGGCAATCTTCCCATGACAGGGACCTCCATCACATTTCTCCTCGAGATCTATTCCACAGCCCTTGCTAAAAGTTCAGCTCCTGTTGAAAGCCTTCCCTCAAACCCTTTACTCACCTTTATTATGTCCTCACACATACATTTTCAAGAAAGTTATCAGAACTCCTGTTTATCTTTGCAGCCTCTGCCCTTCCGCCACATTTCTGTGGTCAAGATGTGAAGGGCTGCGCAGGCTGCTGTGTGTCCGTGTGTGCAAACACCCTGCTTGCATAAGCCTTGTCTCCCTAAGAGACCAGACTAAACAGCCCACACCCAAAAGTACCATTAATATATGCAAAAAAAAAGAAATAGCTCTGCAAGGGTAGCTCATCTGACCATGAAAAAGCCTTTTGATGGCTTATTGCCCTTTATTCTTCCACCACGGCAGGCGTGACAAAATCTTGCAGTCTGGGGACACTTCTTAATTTGAACACTTAGAGCATTTCATTCCTTTTCGTATTTTGCTTCTTAAAAGAAAAGCTCTTCAGCAATGAACAGAATCACACCCTTGTAGGCAGAGATATTTCTGCCTGAAATAGGCTAAGGCAACAATAAAAATGTGGTCCACACATGTGGGTAACTTGCTGCCAGCAAATATGAAACCCTGGCAAGCTCCACCAACCTCTCATTCGACATTAATATAAAATAGACAGAGAGTACCAGTTCTCATGTCTGGCCTAATGTTATATAACTATGCTGTTTGTTCATCAGAGTCAGCCCTTAAACACACACAAAAGGCAAATTTAAAGCCCCCAGACAGCTGCAAATAATTATTCTAAAATGTTTTATAGGTTAGTGAAATTATCGTTTACTCTGGTCCCTGTAGTTCTTAGCACCTGATGCCTAACTTAAGGTAATGAATTTTGCAGATGCTTATTTCTACACATCTACTTAATTCCCTTGCTACAAAGTATTTTAAATTATTATGTTTAAAAAGTTACTTTTAGAAATAGCTGTGCTCCCCTGCCAGAGCAGCAGATACACACATCTTGCTTCTAAAGAAAAATACCAACCTGAAACTACTGAAGATTGATGACAGAGCAAAAGTCCTCCCACCAAATACTGTTTAATTAAATAAAAGAAATTTAAGGAGGAACTTAATAATGCTCTTTGTAACTACAACACAATGCTTTAAAGTACCTCACAATTCACCCGTGTGATATCTGATGGTAAACTGCAAGCTGACATTGTCCCTGTAAATAGCAGCCAGAGCAAGGGCAGCATGCTGAAGGAGTGGCAAAGAATGGGGGAAAGAACCAAAAGAAAAAAATCAAAACCTCATCAGCCCCTTCAGAACTGGGATTCCCTTCCAAATATGAGAATTCTTTCACACAAAGAGGAAACAGATGTCCATGGCTGGAATTTGCATGTGGCTTTATTCTCTTCTAAGATACAATAAAACTACTCTTCTTCTCATCCTCCGAGCTAGAAATTAAACAGTGGCATGTCATGCAGAGTCCAGCTGTGCTTTCTACCTCCAACCTTTATTAGCAATATATTTAAAAAGAAGAAGAAAAGAGAGAGAGAGAAAGAAAGGGAGAAACTAAAAAAGCCTAAGAAATGAAAAACTGTGGTATGTGTTCTCAAAACAATATAAAACCTACAGATGTTCTTACTAATCTGTGGCACATGTTTGTTTATTCAGGTTTTCCCTGTCCCCAGTTCAGCAGGCCTTGCTCTCCAGAAGACTTATCTGTTTTTATAAATGTTAGAGTAAATACTGGAGGAGAGACTGGCATAAACAGGCAGAGGAGGAACAGGCTCACCTTGTAGGAGCTTTCTCAGTGTCCCTGAAAATGCACCTCCATCCCAGAGATTGCTCTCACCCACACCCCCACTCTTCCCTACATTAACAGCAATGGGAGAAAAGCAAACATTTATGAAGAGGATTTTGGGAGTGTGAATGTCACAAAGGCCAGCAGCAAGAACATCTGCCTGCTTCAGGGAGAATCTATTTCATCCTCACAGGGCTCATCCCAAACTTGCACCCAACCTGTCACCTGCACTCACTGTGAAAGGACAGAGGGGCCATCACTGTCCAAGCCTGTATTTATGAGGAGTACTGAGCTGCTGTGCCAAACTGTGCCTTCTCCATTGTTTTGCAAAGAAAAGTCCAATAACCCACTTCTGAATAGCAAAAATACACTGTTTTCTAAGGATACATAAACAGCAAGTTTCAAGAGAACAAGTCCCTTTTACAATCCCTTTTTTCCCTAGCTTCTTTATAAAGGATAGAAGGGTTTTTTAACAGGTTCAAGTTAAAGCAGAATAAAACAACCATGTCAGCCTACTGTAGCTGAACATCTCTGTAAATAATCCCAGCAAATTTGGTTCAGTGTCGCCCTCCTAAAATTCTTCACATTTGCCCAATACATCT